GGGGAACGACACGGGGATTTGGGGCATCGTCCGCCCGAAGCAGGTTGTGGTGAGGTCCCGCACGTGGGGCTTGCCTGGAGGGGCGCACCCCGTCTTCCCCCCAAAACACCCACACCGCCTAGCCTTGCACCAAGCCAACCTGAGCGTCCCACCCCTGCGGTTTGCCAGGGAGCTGGTGGCGGATGGAAAGCCATCCTTAGAGCCCGCCTGGCTCTTTTTCCACCTCCACCAGTGGCCTGGCTCTCATCGTCCGCGTGGAAGCCGTCCCGATGGCACGGCACAGCCCGCCAGGCCTGCGGCTCTCCGGTAACGCTGCGTGCGCTGGGGTCACGCAAGCGGTTCGTGTTTCGAAGACGGGCTCCTAGCCACAGCTGCCGATCCCCGCGCGCTTGCTGAAATTTAGGCTGACGCCATGGGGAAGCGGCCGTGCTCTGGCAGTCCTGCATCCTTCTGCGCCTCCTGCCAAACGGAAACGTCCCGGACGCGCTGTTCCCGGGGAAAGCACAGGCGCAGCATCCTCTGCTGTGTAGGTGTCTGCGCCGCAGTGATGTTGTCTGGGCCTCGCTAATTCGTGATGAAACCTAAGATTCCCTTGTAACGTACCGATAGCAATCCAACACACACCAGCACCACGCCCCAGGTACGGCAGAGGCTCCCATTTGCCTCAAAACCTGCCCGCAGATCAGAGGGAGAAGCCACACGCACAGTGGGTGGGACGAGAGGCCACTCGAAGCTCTCGCTGAAGCAAGGCTTTGCACCAGAGAAGCACCCCTAATCCTTTAACACACACATGTCCCAAAACCACCCCAAACCTGGTGTCTGCAGCCTAGGGGGGGGGCGGGATCCGGCTCTCCCGTCCCATTCTCTCTCCCAGAGACAGACTGCAGGGATGGAGCTGCCAGACACAAAGAAAACATTTTTCTGCGAGAGAGGAAACGGCTGTGGCACGGGGGACAGCAGAAGCTGCTGACTCCAGGGCCAGGACCGCAGGCTTCGTGTGGCATGGCACCGTGCCCCCCCTCTCCTCCGGCCTCCCTGGGAAGCAAAGCTTGTGGAGAAGGGGGCAGGGATGCGTGGGTCCCTGCAGCAAGGCTGAGCGGAGAGAAAGCAGCCAGGGAGGATGGGAGGACAAGGCCAGCCAACCTTCGGGCAACTGGAGAGCGGTAGAATGGGAAAGGCATTTTTAAAAGCCTCCCCCCAGCAGCCTCTCTCAAGGATAAAATGTCCCTCGGGCACCAGCTTCTTCACTTCCATTTCCACCGCTCAGTGCTGACAACAGCTGAGCTTCCCCGGGGGGCAGCTACTCCATCTGTCAGCAGAGACTGCCCTGAGGATGAAACACTGGGGCTTCTCATCCCCCAGCTCACGTCCTGGGGGGCCTCCGGGAGATCTCAGCTGGCTCAGAGAGCTGGACCCCCAAGCAGGAGGGTCACTGTCAGGGCTAGCAGCTGAGAGCAGCCCCGAGAGGTCCCGCGGCAAGCAGCACCTAAACCTTTTTAAGCCTTTTCCTAACGGTCGCTTTCAAAGGCTGGAAAAAAAGAAGGAAAACAAATCGACCACAGTATTTCAAAACGAAAAGAAAGGGTTTCACATATTACTGTCATCCTGTGTTGATTTCTTTTCTTTTAAGGGGAAGTAAAGCCTTTCTGGTGGTGTTTAGCTTGGGTTAAAGACAAGTTTAAGCCTGTCCTTTGGGGGCAAGAGGAGACAGCAACGGGCACTTTGGGTTCACTGTGGTCATCTCTGAAGTCTCAACATTCCCCCTCCAAGAAAAAACACAAGACAAACCCACAGACAGAGGAGGACAGCAGAGCAAGCAAGTGTGGCACTGTTTTTTCTGTCTCGCTGAAGAAGGCTGGCCCAGACCCTGGCCCCAGCATGAGGCCCCAGTGTCTTCACGCCTGACCCCACGCTGTGTGACTGGTCTTGTGCAAAGCCAGGGCTGCCCTTTCTGCAAGTGCCCCAAGTGAAAACATCACCGGGTCTGGGAAAAAGGGAATCTAACAACCCCATGGCAGGAACAGAGCATCTCTGCGCCTGGAGCAGTGGGTGCAAAAAACCTGCCCCCCCTGGGAATCATGCCCTTGTGTGCCTTCCACCTCCCTGTGCTGATCCGAGCCTCCGTGAGGTCTGGGCAGCGCTTTGTGCCAGGCACTAGCAGCGGGGAGACGGTGGCGTGATGGGTCAAGTCAGGCCACGGATAGGGTGGTGGGAGGTTTACGGTCTGGGCTGCCCCCATGCTAGACCTAGGGAGTCCTTCTTCTCGGTTTTGGGAGATGCCGGAGCTCGGCAGGACGGAGGGAGGCAGCGCACCCATCGCGCCCTTTGAGGACAACCGCCGTCACCCCCAGTTCTGGGGCGGCGGGGGGCTCCCCTCGCCCGGGTACCGCTCCCCGGGGGATGCTCCGTGCCCAAGGGCGGGTTGGGGGTGACCCCGGGCGGGTGGTCCCGGGCGGGGCCGCCGGTCTGTGCCCGCCGGCGGCCGCAGCCCCGCTCGGCGGGGGCGCAGCACCACCGCGTGGCACCGCAGCCCCGTAAAATTCTTTGCAATTAAAATGCTTCATAGTGGGGGCAGAGAGCCAGCGCTGAGCCTGCCCGAGACCCTCGCCGGGCCGAAGAGTCCCAGCTCGCCCGGTCTTTCCTTGCGGGAGAGGTGCTGCGGTCCCTTCGCCATGGCGGTGGTCCCGCGCCGGACTTTCTCCAGTATGTCCATGTCTCTCTTGTACTGGGCAGCCCCGAACTGGACACAGCACCCCAGGTGTGGTCTCACCAGTGCTGAGCAGAGGGGAAGGATCACCTCCCTCAACCTGCTGGCAGCATTCCCCCTAATGCAGGCCAGGACACCGTCAGCCACCTTTGCTGCCAGGGCGCGTTGCCGGCTCACGTTCAACTTGGTGTCCACCACCCCTCTTGGGGCATTTTCTGCCAAGCTGTTTTCCAGCTGGGTGACCCCCAGCATGTACTGGGGTGGGGCGGTTGTTCCTCCCCAGGCGCAGGACTTCGCAGTCCCCTGTGTTGAACTGCGTGAGGCCCCTGCCAGCCCATTTCTCCAGCCTGTCTCTGGATGGCAGCACGACCCTCTGGCACGTCAGCCACTCCTGCCAGTCTTGTATCAGTGGTGAGGGTGACAAGGACACACACCTGTGCAGGACACACCCCAGCTAACGTAGGGCCAAAAGCTGAGGGACACCTAGCATCCTCAGCGGGACACGTCATCTTCCTTGTTGTCTGGCCCGGAGGTGAGCAAGGTGAGCTAGAGGCTGTGGTTGATCCTCGCACACTCCTGGTATGTGCTGTAGCTCTTCCCAGCACCTCCCTGTGGCCCCAGCTCCTGTGGCTTTGGTCCCCTGGACTTGGGTGCCAGCACCACATCCTGTTGAGAGAGACCAAAGCTGCAAGAGGCAGGTCTCCTTATTAGCATTCCCACGCTGAATTTTTGCAAGGCACTATAAGCTAGTCCAGCTGTGCCTTCTAGAGGTCATACATAGAAAGAGGCTGGTGGAGCATGTCATGTCCCTGGGCTCTACACCTCTGTGCCTGCTGCCAACAGCAGCCAAGGGCTCATGAAGGCGATGCTTCTGTACCTGCCAAGGGCCAGCAGAGAGATACCTGAGCATTTGAAGTGAGAGGTGGACTCAACAGATGCCACTGATCTGGGGACGGCTCATGGTCGGACAGCGGGAGGCCACACAGCCTGGCGAGGGGCCGCAGCAAGCGGCGACAGTCCCTCATGCGTCAGCTCCACCACACAGGTTTGCTGCAGGTGCCCAGGGTGAGGGGAGCTCCCTCCTATCTCCGTTCGCTGAAGGAGGAAATCCATCTCATGGAGCAAATAGGCTAGACGGGAAAGCTTGTGATGTGACCCTGAGTAGCACAGCAATTTGAGAGATTTCCCTACTGACCTCAACAGTGACACTTGTGTTTACGCCTGTGAGTCAAACGTGGGTGAACAGGCACATGCCTTGGAAATCATGTTTTTCTGAGGCCGTCCAACCCATGTCACCTGCGAGAGGCACGCCTGCATCAAACCTGATCTTTCAGCATCTCTCCTTCAGAAAGCCCCAGGCAGACAGAGGAGGTCTGTCCCAGCCAGAAGAGGAGACAAATTTAAAAATATGTCTTAAAAATAATAACAATAAAACTTTAAAAGGGTGTTTTTTAAAACCTGGAGCAGGCCAGGAGAGTTGTGCTGTGTCAGATGGGCTAGCTGGCTGGGATAAGTCCCAGGCTTTCCTAGGCAGGTCTGTTCAACCTGGTGAGGGCTTATGAGAGCAGCTTAAAGCTGGGTTTAGGAGAACTTGTGCCAAGCTGAGCTGCATAGGCACTAAGTGCAAAGCTCAGGACAGGTTACTGTAGTGCAAGAAAAGTGGGACTTCATGCAAGTTTTGCCTTATATTATGCTGAAATTCATGGTTTCCTATTCCCATTCACCACGCAGTGCCAGACCCTGGGGCCTGGTATTTTCCCATCAGTGTCAGAGACTTTTTGGACCTGTCTAGGGTTTTCTGCACACTGTGGGTGCCTGTCCTGTGCTGGCATTGGTGCCTGTGGGGTGCAGGCAGCACGGCTGCCATGGCAGCCTTGGAGACCCTGCAGCCCTGTTCTTCATCCATGGGATCCCCCTGCCCTGTGGTTACCCCATGTGTGGCACGGCCGGGAAAACAGGTCTGGCTAGGAACCCAGCTTTGAGCAACACAAAAGGTGACAAAAAAAGCCAGAGGGTAACAGAGGGGAGTGTCCATCCCCCTGACCCCCAGCTCATACCCAGTGCCGCCTTCCGCAGCGCAGGGATGCAGCTATACACATCCTGCCTTCCTGAGATGCCAGCTCTTTGTACCCGTCCCCACCACACACGGTAATTAAACCTGGCTGAGCCCCTGTGATCAAGGAGAGGTTCCACCTTGCTGTGTTTCAAAATATAAATCCCCTTGAGCATGCACATCACAGCACAACATGCCCTCTCTGCTGCGTGGGGCTGCGCAAGACCATCCCTGGGTTTTGAGGCCACTTAGCTAATGCCAATGCCCTGCCGCATCGGCACGCTTCCAGCACACCCACACACTGCCGTGGCCGCTCCGTCAGTACCCAGACACACACGGCTATGAGCCGCCCCTTGGCTTCTGGGCCATTTCAGGAGGATGAGCATGTCCCCCCTTGCCCCTCTCATGTCTGCACATCCCACCCTTTGGTGGGAGGCTGTGATGGGAAGGGATGCGCAGCGGGTTCACCGCAGCAGCAGCATCCCCAGGTGCCACACGCACGGGCTCACACCACCCTTCACACGGGGACTCCATGAGGACCCGTCTGCGCCCACGTGCATCGCACAAGCTGTCACCAAAACCTGGCGCGGTCACAAAAAGCAGCCCCTCTAGAGATGAACTTTCAGCTGAAAACACAAAATAGGCATTTTTAGAAAAAAAACCATCATCTAACAAGCTGGTGCAGA